TATCTATCTATCTATCTATCTATCTATCTATCTATCTATCTATCTATCTATCTATCTATCTATCTATCTATCTATCTATCTATCTATCTGAAATTTTCATTACAGATCTGTTTGAATGTTGAAAACCCATAAAAACATGACACTTACATTTTCAACAGAATATTTAACACAAAACTTCTCTGGTCTGCTCAAGTCCCAATTCACCTGTAGAGCCTTATATCTGTCACATTATGGTACCTTGACTGACAGCTTCTCTTTGTCCGTCTCCATCTCTCTTAAGGATTCATTAGTCCCTATAGACTCCAGCAGTCTAAACATATTGCACCATTCAGCTGGTACTTACGTGTCATCTGTTATCTATTGGACTGGTGTTTCTGGTGAGCATATGAATGATAATCAGGCCTTTGTGCGTCCATAGAGGTGCAGCAGGATCTGCAGCCTGTGATGTTGCCTCAGGGGGAGATTAGGAGGGGCAGCCGGCCCTCTGTGTCACGTCGACAGTCACAGCGCCCATCCGCGGCTGGGCCAAACCCCACTGGGACCTTAAATCCTGTTACACTGTCAGCTAAAACCATCATTTGTATTAGAGATGTGTGGGTGTTTAAGTGTGTGTACATATTAAGTGAGGGAGGGATAGTGTCTTAAACTATGAATTATTCATACCAAAAAGAAAAGGAGATATTGACTACATCTCCATAAACAGACTGCTCTCTTTATGTCATCAGGCACGAGATCTTTGGGTATAATTGCGTAAAAGCCCCTGAAAATGTGCTTCTCCAACAGCACAGCAGGCACTGGTCAGTGTTATCATCAGGGATGAATTTGAGTGATGGCAATTGTTCCAACTTAATATCTTATAAATAATTTACTATTTCAGGGGTATGGCTTCCCCTCCCCATCAAACATTAATGTTAAGAAGCTTTACCAACCCACAGCTGCTAGTTACTGAACGCATGAAGCTATGCTGAATTAGTCCGGCTCACTGGTTTGTTACAAAACATTAAATAAATTAACAGAAAAAGAAAAGTGCATGTGGATGTGGAGGTGATGATGCATAAACCTTATAAGTGCCTACAGGTGTATTTTTGTAGCTTGGAACTAGTGCAAAAATGAGCCGTTATAATGTGAGCAGGCTATTTTCCCTCGATTACTTATCTCAGTAACAAGTGATTATGGAGGATGAGATTCTTTGCACTTCTGGCCCGCGCCTCCAGAGGGAGGTCAAAACTATTTGTCAGTCTCCAGTTGGGATTGCAAATTAGGATAAGCCTCCCCTGCGAGAGGACCCATGAAACCTCTATTCCTATCCACGGGATGACTGCTGCACATAATTTGAAAATTAGGGCCTCTGATAACATCTTTATGTTGAGCAATGCGTCAAGCTGCCACCGCGTAGGCTGCATATCTGAGAAAGCTTGATATGAGGCATAATTCTTTTCAAATCTGAAGCGATTAGAGGCCTGAATTGAAAAAGAGAGAGACGCGTTTTACCCCTCCTTTTTCATCATCATCATCATCATCATCATCATCATTATTATTACTATTATTATTTTATTTTAGGGGGGCTTTAGCGCACAAGCTGGCAAGCTCTCGGTGAGTGTTTTGAGGTATGATGAAAACAAGTCATTAACGTATTAACTAATTAGGAATCGTAATAAAAGCGGCAGATTCGTATTTACAGGTTTCAGAGATTGCAGCAAGATTGACAGACTAGTTAATGGCTCATTCCTGGCAGGAAATGAAAGGATGGACTAATGCAAAAAATAAATAAATCTGAAAATGGCTCTCGCGCATATAACAGGTTTTTGTCCTAATGACGAGATCTCGTTAAAGGGTTTAACTGCTCCTAATTTGTAACTACTTTAATGGCGCCACCTAATTACAGGTCTTGTTTTTTTTATTTTTTATGGAAGATTAGCGGTGTGAAGCTGAGCGCATTAAGCCTCTTTTATGAGGAGAGAACAGATAGCATCACACCGTCATGTGGCTGTGTTGTGTGGAGCTGAAGGACTAATTCCCTGGACGTGACAATTTATGGCAAATGATGCTTAAAGCATAACACGTAAACAATAAAGCGACAACGAGGAGCCTTTCTTACATTAAAAAAAACGATGGCCTACGTGTCAAGTATAGGAACATCAGAAGGAAAGAAAAAGAGGGGAAAACAAGCGTCGAGTTTCGCCTTTTATGTCACGTCTAGTCGTACTTTAACGTTGTGTGCTTAGGAAAGAAGCAGCTCTGCAGAAGAAGAATCGCATTCCACTATTTACTCACATATTACGGCTCCAAGTCTCTTTGAAGGTCTTGTTCAGAAAGCCTTAAAGTGAAAGAAAATGTTTTCCTATTACTTAATTCAATCAGAGCGCCAGGCGGGGGCTTCACGCACCGCGCACTGGGCTCCTCTATGACAGAGTCGCCTTTGTTGGGTCTATCCGCCGCTGTCACACACTTTAATTCGACTCTCTTTCTCTCTCATTGAAAACCCTCCACAATGACATTCAATAAGGGCCGCGGAGTGAAAACCTGGTTATTTTTACATATTCTTTCCCCCGACTCGGCAGGGGCCCGAGCAAAGGAATTAATCACTGCTCTTTAACAGCACTGGCTTCAGGCAATGACTTGTCCCTTTTTTTGTGCCCAGAAATGACACATTAACCCTAAAATGGATATGCATAAACTTTACATTCAGCTGTTGCGTTTATGTTTTTTTCTTCTTCTTTCTGCACTGTCAGTAAAGTAGACACACGGACCTGCCGGGATGCAGACGCAAATAATGAGGAAAAAAGAAAGAAATAAAAGACGTAGGTTTGGGAATCATGGGTGTTTTCTGGTGTTAATTAAAAAAAAGAAAAACTTTAACAATACTTGGCGGCTTTGCCTTGACAGCTCCACCAAATATAGACGCGATTAACTTTTGATTTTTAAAAGCAACTGCGGGGAAATCGCTCTCTAATTTACCTGCTGGATTGAAATATTTGAATAAATGTAAATGTGTGCCAGCGACTCTCCACCTCTACCTCTCGCCCCGGGACACGCAGACCTACTTTAGACTTTAACTCAGACACACTGGTTAATGTCTAAGACAAAACTTGAATGCACGCCGGCTCTCCAAATGTGACAGAAACGTTTTCTCTCGCAAATTTAAGCTCGTCTCTATGATAAAATGAGAATGATGATAAAAGGGAGAATGGGCTGTGCCGCCTCTTGCGGCGTGGGTGGGGCTGACAAGAATAGACTACATTATGCAGTTCATTTAGTTAACAAGTGAAATAATGGGGAAGCGTGCAGTGGGAATGCCGAGAGAAAGGCACAAAACCCTATTGAGAGCTCTTGGCCGCTTACAGCGTAACCGTCACATGGCCGAACCGAGTCCGCGGCAGCTATTTAAGGAGAGGCTGTGCGCCTTCAGCACCACTTCGCTGTCCACAGTCCCGGAGAAAGCACGCTGACGCAACCAAACGAGCACGAACGACTTCAACTTTCGAGCACGCCGAGCAACAAGTTTGCAAACATGCCGAGATCTTTTCTCGTGGATTCCTTGATTTTAAGGGAGGCCAACGACAAAGGGAACGAGAACAACCCACCTTTATTCCCGTACGCTGTGCACTCGCCGCATCACGCGCACGGGCTGCCAGGCTCCTGCCACTCGAGGAAAGCCGGGCTTTTGTGCTTCTGCCCGCTGTGCATGACCGCCTCCCAGCTCCATCCATCTCCACCGACGCTGCCGCTTCTCAAAGCATCGTTTCCTCCCTTCAGCTCACAGTACTGCCACTCGGCTCTGTCGAGGCAACACTCTTCATCCAACAGCGTCAACCTCAGCCACGGACCGGGGATATACCAGGCTGCCTACTCGGTCCCAGACCCTCGACAGTTCCACTGCATCTCCATCGGTGAGTAGAGGCTGTTTTAACTACTGATCGAGTTCAGAAAACGCTTTATTAAATTTGTTTCCACAATTTCCCCCCCGTGGCTCACAGTTTATGTTTGTTTTCTCAGAAAACAGTAACGGCAAACTTCAGAGCAGCAAGCGCATGCGCACCGCCTTCACCAGCACGCAACTTTTGGAGCTGGAGCGAGAGTTCACCTCCAACATGTACCTCTCCAGACTGAGGCGCATTGAGATCGCCACGTACCTGAACTTGTCCGAGAAGCAGGTGAAAATCTGGTTCCAGAACCGCAGAGTGAAGCACAAAAAGGAGGGAAAGAGCAGCGGCCAAAGGACTGGATCACATAACTGCAAATGCTCGTCCCTGTCAACCGCCAGGTGCTCGGAGGAAGAGGATGATGACATTCCCATATCTCCTTCCTCGTCCGAAAAGGAAGATGTGGACCTGTCCGTCTCCCCCTGAACGCCCCCCTCTTTGATCCCCCCTTTCTGAAAGATTTTGCTCCTGATGATTTTGAATACAGCCAAAAACAAACAGACTGTTCCACTTGTGTTCAGTCGACTGTACATAGACAGAGAATATTTTAAAATCAGGGGACTGCCCTGAATTATTGTATAGCTGTATACATGTTGTACGTTTTGTATGTAGTTTTTTCTGAAAACAGTCACTTGTTGTTGCCAATCCGATGAATATGGTAGGCATATTTGTAAAGATACCCCCCCCCCCCCCAAAAAAAAAACAACAACCCCCAAACAAACAATAGCAACATTGTTAATGAGTATTTTGGGGAAGACAGTATTTTGTACTATACTTGGTAAATACTGGTTAGATTCATTCTATGTGGATGGAACTGTGACTTAAAATATGGAAAGCTGGAGAGAAATCCGCCGACACCACTCTGAAATTATATCTTCAGTGTAATTGAAAAAAAATATTTATTTATTTAAAAATGTTCATACTTAAATAAAATATTTCTGAGCGGTAGACTGCGTTGTCTTGTGGGTTATTATTTTATGTTTTTTTGCGCACCACTGAATGCGCACGGGGACAAACATTCTGTATTCTGTTTTCCGGCTGAAAATATTAGTTTGGGTATTAATTTAAAAGGAAAAAGCCAAAAAGGTACAATTACAAATATTCGAAATTGTATCTAGTATCCTTTATTTAAACTAAGAAATAAGATATAGGGACATTCACATATTAAAACTTTGGATAGCTGCGCTTACGTGAAAACGTTCGCTTTGCTCGGCTTTTCAGAACTTAGACTGTTTCTGTGCAAATTAAACACGCATATTTTAAAATTCCCTCACGAAACGTTAAAGCTGCTGGTTGCAGGGTGTGTTGGTGCTTTGGGGAGATTTTAAAGGTGCTTAACAGAGTTAATTTTCCCCCACAGAAACCCAAAACAAATTTGGTGTTACTATTTTCCCCCGTGAGATTCCCAGACTGCCCTGCGTCGTACACACAAATAAAATGTTCTTGTGCATCGAAGAAGCGCGTTGGATATTACGTGCCTAAGAAGGAGTAAATTAAGTACTTCATAATCTTTATCACTCAGAAGCGATAAATGCATTATCGTGGACACCTCTTACGCGCTTTCCCTGGGGGGCACTCGACCCAGCTATAGCTGCCTGGCCCTTCTGAGCTTTTCCCCCCCAAAGTTTCATCCCAGCTGAAACGATCTGTCTCGTGTGACCGAGTAAATAATCACTGTGGGTGTATAATGGTGCATCAGGAATGCGCATAACTTAAGATATCGATCTAACATGAAAATAAATGAGAAAAGGACGCAGTTTAGTGTCCGTGACCCAGATTGTTCTAATTGTTAACGGAGCACCGTGCACAAGATTGTTGTCGGTTTTATAAACTCTGTGTGCTTTAGCCCCATACAAACCTATTAAAACTCGACACGTGTAACTTGATAACATAAAAAAATATTAATTAGCATAGCATTTTTTTTTAAAAATTGTTAATGATTTAAACCAGCCAAATGAATTATTTGTCAAATAATACGCGGCAGCCCTTAAAAAAAGAAACCCAGTCTTCTAGTAAAAAACTAAAATGCTCTCCTGGTGAAAAACGAGTGTAAAATCAGTGTATGTGTAATTTTCTTTTTATTTCAGTTTAAAATAAATATTATGTTATAAATAAAAAACGTCCAAAAAATCAAACTATGAGTTAGGTGTATAGTTCCATATTTCTTTGCCCGTTTTACGCATCGCAACAGCGGCTGTTCTTTAGAGCCTTTGACTGCCCAAGTCATATTTATTAGGCTGAATAGGCTTTAAATTATATTTACTCCGTATAAACGTACTGCTAGAGTTTTCTAAAGAGACTAAAAACTGTTCCTAAATTGCGTACAGCACGTTATCTGCATCAGCGTGCCTTATTTGGATGTGAAGTTCCACTTGTAAACTTTCATTTAATTGTTCACTTAACCATTTTAACAAAACTCTAATATTTGCATTTGTTAAGATATGGGATTAGACCATTTTGTTAATTGCACCATAGAGCTCCATTTTGCTCACAACGTCCTCTGCAAAGCGCCCTTTATCCATTCAATAGCCCGGGGGTATGCGCCCTGGGGGAGCTTATACGCTCGGTGCTTCAAATGCTCAATTTATTTATTCTTAATTTTGTGCCGATCAATTCATTGAAGCAAAAAGGACTACGGTGTCTTTTTAAAAAGAAGAAAAGGGAATTGTGGACGTAACCTTGACGGAGCTGAGGAGAGGGCTCCCCTGACGCTGGAGAGCCGCTTGAGTCAACAGGCGCCCATCTAGCAGACTCGCCCTTGTCTTTATTCTGGCTAATTTTTTATTTACGGCTTTTCTTTGACATGTCTCTTATCTATCAGATTAAAAGAACAGCTTGTAACAAATCAGTCTGCACGATTTACAACAGCATTAAAAGGGGACAAAGGGAGCAGGCAGTCAGTACCTGAGAGTCTGGTAGACGGCGCGGCGCTGCAGCTGATTCGATGGTTTGAAAATACGCACGAAACAAAATACTTGAATCCTGAAAAAGAGCCTTTGTACGTTTCTTTAGAAATCAAGCAATTCTGCATGACAAAGGACAATTAATAAGCCGTCTTTTCACGACCAGCAGCTGGTTTCCCCGTCAAGGAAAGTTGGAAAAAATTCAGACTGAATGCGCGCAAAAGCCCTTTGCGCGCAGACAGCAACCCAAGGTGACCCATTTGGCACAGTTAAAATAACCAAGCCGAGGTAAAAGCGAGGGAACTGTCAAAAACATTTAAGCTGAAATATCTTGAAATTGCAAATCCCTTTATGTGGAGGGACGCTGCCGATGTGGGTTAGTCGTACAAAGGAGGTGGTTAAGTTGGAGAGGCTTTGGAAACGGACACGTGGCTTCTCAATGAGAGCTCTTTTGGACCCGCGTGGCTTGCTGTGGCACTGCACATTCAACTACTTTAAACTTATCCAGCTTAGTAAAAAGTGTGTAGTAAATCTTAACAAGTTAACTCACTAACTTTTTACAAAACAGTTTGTAAACTTTTACACACTTTAAGGTGTTTATTTACTCTCGCCTTAAGAAACAAATACAAGCTGTTCCACACTTCCAACTTGGTTTATAAATGCAGAGTCCAGACTTACTGCTGGAAGGGGGGAAATGACTTCCAGTAGATAATTTTCAATCAGGACTTTAGTGATTTTAATACACTTTTAGCTTAACATTTCATCACTTGAGGATGTGAGGCGTTTTTAAAAGACTTGTAACAGTTTTTGTCAGTAAGCCTAAGGAACGCGTTTACTGATAAAACTATAGTGGGTTTGTTTGTGTGGTTATAAATGAAAAAAAAAAAGGTTTAATTTTGCTTTAACATTTAGAAGGCAGAAAAATATTATCCCCGCAGTCTGCAGTCTATCACGGTTATCATTTTATATTTCGCTGCAGCTTCAACTAACATCTCGACCTGCACTGATGGACTGGAAATGGGTTCAGCTGCTCACGCTGTGTTATAAAATGAATGTTATTAAAAAAAAAAGACAGAAAAAAACCCCGCAAAAGCAACACGTTTCATTACGGAGCTGTTGTTGGTGACAAAGTGTGTTGAGCTTGCTGAAGTGGCAAGGAAGAAAACCGCTCGTCATTGCCTTGAACTCCGGCTGCATTCTGCTGCAACATTTGAACCCATTCAACTGTATATAATCTGTTTAACAGCTAATCAGCAGTGTAAGATGAAGGACTGGCACGCAGCTTCACTTTTCCTCAGTCGCCCCTCGCTAATTGAATATTCAATGCGCGCACTGTGCTCTGCTTGCCTTTTTCAGTGTGCTCAGAATACGCCTTTTTAATTCTCGGCCCATACACAAGCAGTGTCAAAGGTTGAGAAATAATGAACTGCTCAGACATGGAAGAGACCTCTGCGAGCGCCACCACTGACGCAACCTGAATGCCTCCGAGGATGATTTGTCTTTTTTTCTGTCTAAATAGGTATGAGATTTGACATTTGGACAAAGAAACTTATTTGTTTTCTGTCGGCGTTTGACTGTGGCACCTGCACACAGGCCACTGATGTAAATATCAGACTTAGACATAAAAACTGGGGATAACAGAACTGTGCCGTGCGCACTGAGATGCGAAAAAGAAACATGTTGGTGTTGGTGGTGGCCTATTTATTGTGTCTAGGTTAGAAAGAAGAAAAAAATCAATTACAGAGTTTTCATTTGCTTTTGATGGTGTTAAAAAAGAATTGTGTGTCATTGCGTTTTAAAGCATTCTGTCAGTTTCTGTTCCAGGTAGTAGCAGAATTGTTGCTGAGATGCTGCTGCAGTACGTAGACCTTATGCTGCTACTGTGTGGGCATGCAGAAGGAAACCCTTTTTTAATAATAATAAAAAAAGGGGGTCAGGAGAGAGTACAAGCGGTTGTCTTTCCCCTAAAGACGCACAAACACGCGCAAAGTACACGCACTAAAAACACTCTGGAACCAAAGTGACAGACAACCCGAGTGATTCTCTCGGCCGACAGATAAAGGGCACCACACCTCTACCATCTCCATCGCCTTGTATAACAAACAGCTGAAACACTTTCACGTGCCTGGAGCGCACACTTTCTCCGTTTTCAGCGCGTTTGTCTGTTTGTTTGTTCCGCAGCTGGGTGGCTTGCGCGGATGTGCACTGTGAAGCAGGAGCGTCACCTGGTGGCAAAGCACAGAGCCAGGAGATTAAAATGGAAGCGTGTGTTCCACCAGGCTTACAGAGTTTTGACATGAAAAATCTCGGGGGGGGCCCCTTACAGGAATACTTCTTATTCAGGCAGCAGCACCGGTCAGCTCTGTTATTCTCCTTTCAGGGAGCTGCTTTGAAAAGGAGAGGAAAACAGAGAATTCCTATCTAACCATCCACTTGTGAAGATTGGCACTAAGATCCAGATACATTTTTTAAGAAGGGCAGAAAAACAGTCAGGAGGGCACTCTTTAAAAACCTATTAAACTGTATTCAGCCTGCATGTACCTTTCAAAGTGATAGAGAAGCAATGGTGGTCTCTTACTGTAAAGTAGAAGATGAAGTTATCACCAAAAAGTTACAAAGTTAAAGATGAAGCGTTTGTTTCAATATTTAAAGCGAACTTGGTGTACTGATCCTTTGTGCCACGTCAAAGTGGTGAAAAGGAGCGTTACACAAAATATGTGCAGCACTCATGACTTTTACCAAAATCTCAGACTTGAATCAGCTTTGTATGGGTGGGCCTTGTTACAGTCATCACCGAAAACTTTGATGATGGAATAAAATAAACAACAAGCATCTGAAAATGTTTGGTGGGTTTTTTATGGAGTCTGTGAAGTTTTGAAATGAAAACAGAATTTGCTGGTGTTGCAGCCACTGGGTCAGGGGACAATTTACTGGATGAGAAAAGAACAGACTTATATTGGATATCAGCAAATTCTCGAGTACCGGTATGTAAAAAAAGAGAAAACACCAAAGACAGAAAGGGGATCATTTCCAAATGTTTACCAATATAAAACAGCAGTGGTGAAAGATCACAGAGCTAGAAGCCTTTTGAAATAACAAAGAGCTGAAAGCTGTGATTCTGAGGGGAATTATGACTAAGAACTTAAGGAACCCAAACTTTTTCTTTGGAAAATATAGCCAAATGAAAAGTTTTCTTCCTTAAAATATTTAGAAGTATTTCTTTCTTTTGCATTTTTGAGATTGGTTGCTTTCATTGTCAGGGGGTACCAAAACACTTCATGCTGTCAAAGTAGAAACGTCAGTAAACTAATAATTAACAAATAATTAAACTCTAGCTCTGAAGTGGTGAGCTGGACATGCCGTGATTTAATAACAGTCATTGACACGCTGATTTATGTCTTTTTTTTTTTTTTGGAACATTTTATTTTCATAGCTTTCTGTTGTAACAAAACTCATCTTATGTACATTACTTTAGGTGCCATAATCAGATAATTAAGGCAAAGCTCATCTCGAAGGCTCCCCCCACTCCATGATTACACGCAATTCAATCAATAATTTTCAGTATCAACAAGTATACATGAGTTACAAAGTAATTAAACACTATGACACGAATCACACATCCAGGCTGTCCAAACTACAGTATAAAAACACTGCAACTTTTAATTACATGAAGGACATCTTAAATACAATTTAATATACAAAGTGATTAAAAAAAATTCTTCTTTTTTTGGGCTGTTCACTCAAAAATAGCAGAAAATGTAAAACGGAGATGGTGTTATTCGACTTTTACACAAAGCACCATTAAGATCCAAGCACAGTGAATACAGTCAGCACGCACAAACTCAAGCTCCAGTTTACTGTCTGACGAGCAGCGCTGATCACATCATCAGATGACCAAATAAAACCCTCTCATTAAATCCAAAGTGAAATCCATTCAATCATATTACAGAAAAAAGTGACACAGGAATTAAAGCTCTTAATTCATGTGCTGATAGAAATTTCCTTTTAAATACTTCTTTAAAAAAAACAAAACAGCCACCAGCTCTTCACTGAGCCTGTCGTTGCATGTGTAATATACAGTATCAGGTTTACGTAAAGTCACGTGAAACTTCATAAAGGAATAAATAAAGTCATTTTCCTGTAAAGGATCAGGCTTGAGATCTGTATTCAGGCTATTGAGAACAAACTAGGTTGACACAAGTATGTAAAAAGGTCATAATCTCATGCGGTGCCATCACATCGCTCACGAGTATGGGACAGGTTTCTTTCCAGTGTCTGTATTCTGACATTTTTAGAAATGAGTGTACCAGAATCCAGACAGCGCTCCTGCAGACTCAGCTCTCTCCATAACAAATGACTAACCATCAGTGATTAGTCAATGCAACCCGTGGAGCTTGCTTACAGACCGCATAGAGGAGCAGAAATCGTAAAGGTATGCTCATCTGCTGTAGGTCAATTTTTCTTCAACCTTCAGCACATTTCTGCCTTAGAGTTAAATCAGCAAACTATTCGAACAATTTGGCCTCAATAAAAATCTTGTGGGCTGGATTCTTGACTTGCAAATTGACTGGATGCAACTAACGGATAACTGAAATGTGCATATTATTATCTCACTGTTATTGTTTATCCCATGCAAAAACATGTGACAGGGCGGGTATGAACACAGGACAATTTAACGTATCCAGATGACTGTGGTGTTGTTGGATGACTCCAGGATAATGAGACCGATCACAAGCTGGTACATTGATGATTTCATTATATTCTACTATTTTTAAAAAGTGAAGATAATTATTATGATCCATGATTTTAGAAAATGTACTCATACACAGATGTTTACATCCAACATCCATTTAAATCCTGAAAAATGAAATGATACTAAAATATTCAACTTTATGGTGGAAAAAAGTGTTTATTGACTTAACTAAACAAAAATTAAATATGATTTTGCATAAATGAGCTTTCATTTGTTTTAATTTGCTTTTTTTGTATTGTGCAATGTATTTTTCTTTAATCTTACAATTCCCCAAAACTCATGCATCAAATATCCATTCACTAGGGGTTAAGAGGGAATATCTCCAGTTTTATACATTTCTTGGAATAATTATTGATTTAAAGCTGATCTTAATAAACTGTAAAAAGCTGCGTGTAAAAAAAACAAACCCATATTCTATCATCTGTCATATTTGCACATTGATAAAGCCACCTTGAGTTTATTGTATCATGCCTTTGTTGGGGCTGCTTTGCCCTTTTCCTCAGTGTCATATTTATCTATAAAGAACAGAAACTCACTGAATCAAATGGTCTAACGGGCTGACGGGTGAGCCGCGTCTACGGCACCGCTTTGATCGTGAGTTTCAGTTTTTTTCTTCTGGAGAAAGGCTCCGAGTCCCAAAGTGCAGAACAGCATTGTTTTAAAAAAACGCAGCTTTGTTCCTGCAGCGATAACTCATGTACGCAAATCATAGTATAGTTATTTTAAAATCCTACATGCTGCTGTGTGGATCCTCTAGTTTATTATTTATGTCTTCACTATGGCACATTGTGCTTATCTGCTGTCCATGTATTTCTTTAAATATGCGTGTGAGGATGGATTACCTACTTACTCCATACCAAACCTTCCTAACCTGACCATTTTGAACTAAGTGTGCCTGACTTGAATATTTCCATTTCATATCTTTAAACTTCTCCATACTTCTACTTTACTGAACTACATTTCTGTTATATCAGACAGATACAGCTACTAACCCTTTTATGCACAAAAACATCTACTAATCAGTGCAACAGATATTCCCTTCGTTTTCTTTCCTACTTCGTTAATCATCTCCAGACCCCTCGGGTTTCACTTCTAACTGTGGTAGTAAAATGTGGTTTAGACACTGCTACACCAAATGACTCCATACAAGTTTAAAAGGGACATTTTTTTCAGAGGTCTGTGTTGCTGGTAACATTTTACTTTCATGTATAACTTGGATTTTGAAGCTGTGTATGGTTAAAATGGTACTTCAAGCCTCTGGATAAACAACCAGTTTTTCAACCCTGAGTTAAGATTTTGTTTTCTTTTTTTTACGGTTTAAAAGGTCAATAGTGATTTTTCATTCATCAGAAAATATTTAGCACAGCTCACTATTCCATCTATGACAAAAGCTGCCCGGCAGCCAGTTTGCAAGTTGCAGTTTTAATAGCAAAAGGATGCTTTTCATACTTTCCAGTCTGGCAGTGATTCTCTTTGACAGGGTAGGATATATATCATAACATGCCTTGGGAATGAGACAGAATGTCTGTTATCCTAAAATGAATTTTACATAAATTTCCTAAATGAGCTAAAAACAATTAGATGACAGCAAATCAATCTCTAACACAATAGAGACCAAAATAATAGACTAATGGAGACTTAAAAAAAACATTGGTTGCAGATGTCACTCAAGGATAAATGGCACTCAGGCACATCGTGGCTTCCTTTTCCTCTTTCCCACTTACTTCCTGTTTTTAAACCGCCTTTCAAGGAATGTGTGAGTCATACAATTTACAACAGGTTATCATATCATCTTCCTTGGGATCTTGATGTATCGTATCTATTTACATACATGGTCGCTGAGTGGATCTCCAGTCACTCAATCTGCCTGTGGCTCCTGCTGTCAAATATCATCGACCTTCTCTGTGGCTGGTAGAAGCAGCTGGTTGACGTTTCCAGTCTCTGTCCGCTTTTTGGGATAGTCATTTTATTCTGAAGAGCGATCCCCTCTGTTGTCCTGAAATTTTCGGCCATCTCTTTAGAAAAGACATTCGCTGCTGACGCGTCATTCAGGCTCTTGATGGGTGAAAGGAGCTTGCCGTCATCCCCCGACGTCGGATAGTCCATGATGGGAAACGGAGGGCTGAGCAGGATAAGACTTTGAGGTCTCTGTCTGTTCCTAAAGGACGGTCTTTGTAAGAGGTTCCCTCTGCTGGGTCTGGGACAATCCACAAACACTTCCAGGCTGGGTGTGTGCCTCCTGGTTATCACAGGCAATTCTGGAGTGGATGAGATCTTCAAAGACTCGGCAGATTTCTCAACACTTGGCTGTTTTTGGAGTATGGGGGCTGGCTCTTTATTCTCCAGCTCCTCCTTTAGGTCTGACACGCTCGGAGGAGGTGCAGCATTGCTTTTCTCCGTGCTCACTTTAGGATTCTCCTTTTCTTGTTCCTTCACCCTGTCAAATTCATTCTCGGGTCTGCAGTGAGGTATCTGGCTGTACTGCACCTTTGGGGGGATGACAGGGACAGCTTTGGCCTGGCACGTTTTTATCATGAAGGCTGTCCGCACAGAAGACACGCTGACCGGGGCCGAGTTTCGCCGGAGAGGCGCCTGCCGATCGTTCAGAAACAGCTCCAACTCTGAGGGCAGCCCGTTGTTCACAGCTCCAGATGAGGCCATTAGCCCCCTCTGACAGGAGGAAAACTCTGATGAAGTACGGTTTTGCTGATTAGAAATGTCTCTGATATACCTATGTCCCAGATCCAAGTTAAGCGAACACGGCCTGTGTTTAGAAAAGCATTTCTCCTCTCTTTTCTCTGAAGCTGCTGCCTCATACGACATTTGTCTATTAAACCTCTGAGATGACGCTGTGTTCTTCGATTTTGTTGTGCTGCACTTTTCCGTTTGAGGTTGTGTTGTGCTATTGCTGTTCAAGCTCGACCGTGTAGGTGCTGAAGGAACGTACATCCACGTTGTTTCTGGTTTGCTGTTTGTAGTCTGAAGAAGGTTTCCTGGAGAGCATTCGGCGCTCCTGAAGAACTTGTTGTTATCAGCTTGAGGAGATGAGCTCTTCTCCACCTCTAAGCTCAAAGTTTCCCCGTGTGAGCTGAAGGGTGACAGGTGGTTAAATAAGTGCTCCAGATCAGGTGAGTGGAGTGGGCTTGTAACCCACTGCTTAGTGGAGCTAATATCCTCCCAGGGCTCCACCAGGTCCAGCTCCTCTGAAGTCCCTCCTTCATCATCGTCGAGGTTCGGCAGCTCCAGTGTGTTACGTTTCTCCTCCAAACACACTGGAAGCCTCTGAGGGATCTCCAACTCAGGAATCACAACTTTCTTCGCTCCATCACTGAAGGCATTTTGGTTCTCCTGAGGAATTTCGTGTTTGTGAGATTTCCTGTCTATATTATCTGCAACCACAAGAACATCCTCAATTCTTAAATGATTTATGACTTGGTCTGAACTGGCTTCCTTTGGACAAAGCTGGCTCTGCTTGGTATAAACTGAGTCATCTTTGTTTAAGGGTGGGATTTTAAGATTCAGTTCCTTCTCTTTCTCATCCATCGTGTCAGTAGGCGGTGCAGTTTTGTGAAGAGACAGTAAGATGTCTGATTCTGAAGGCTGCTTCTTTGCGGCGACTTCACAATCACTCCGAGAGGTATTTGAAGACTGCTCTCTACATAGCAAAGACAGAGATGGAGAGCTGCGGCTGCGCTTCGCCTTAACATCCATTGTTAACTTAGTGTTCACGCAAGTGCTTGTTGAGACATTAACTTGTTTAACATTCTCATCCAGCAGGTCAAATTCGGGTTCAGTTATTTTCAGTTCCTGGTTTAGGTCAGACCACAGGTCTTTGCCAGTAGAAGATCTCTTATCCTGGGAAGTTATAAGGGATAAGCAAGCAAAGATTAGCAAAGAGTAACAAATTACAGCAAATGTACATGAGCAAGAACAACTGGGTTACCACACTAAAACATTTCTGGTATTTTAAAGCAGTGTTATTGGGTCTGGTTAGTTCCTTTTTGTAAAAAAGGCTAAACCTGAGTAAATAACGTGACGCAAAATACTAATAATACTAGCAAATACAGTACTTATTCCTTAAAAAAAATTAATTTCACAAATTATTATGGAGTGTTACACCTGAACTATAATAAAAGACAACATCTGTAATCGGAGATGATTACCAGTTGCTTCTCTGTGGGCAGGTTGTGCAGTTCTTTCCCAGAAGATGGCGCTGCATCTTTGCCTTCTCTTGCATTTGCAAGGGACTGCAGTTCCAGTTGAGAAATATTCCTCTCTCCTTGACCGTCTTGGACCATTTCTTTCCTTATATCTGAATAAAACATGTTTTTTGTTTTCATTGCAACCGGTTACACAAGTATGACTTTAGATGTGAGCAACAATTCACACAAAAAAAGGAAGATGGCCTTACCTTGTGACGATACCCTGGACGTCACCTCCTCTACGTTATTCTTCTCTGCTCTTTCCTGCCTCTTCCGTTCCAGTTGGGGGAAAGTGTTGCTCTTTCCACTGTTGCCGCTCTGCTCTGAAGTCTCTTTGCAGGGTTTCAGAGTAGCTGCTTTTTCTTTGCCGTGCCCTCTGCATGGCGTGCTGTTAGAGCTGATAACTGCTGACACACGCAGAGGTACAGACACAGCAAAAGGCTCAGATATGTTGACGGCTCTGCGCTGATGCCTCGGCGAAGACTCCAGTGGGAAGAAACTTCCTGGAAAGGAGGGTCGGGAGGAGCTGTTGTGCGAGGAAGCCGAGTACAACATCCTCCTGTTTTTTGGGGAGGTGGGCTTGTAGCCACCGAGGTCGTCACCTTTAAACACCTTGAGCTGCTCTGGCAGGTTTTTCTGAGGGGGCTCAGACCCCTTCTGGTTCTCGCTGACATTCCAGCCACCCGTTGCCCCCCCAGTGTTCTTCCCTTTAAACTCCCAGTTTTGATCATGTTCACTGATGTCACAGAGCGAGTCGGATCCCAGCGTTCTGGATTTTACATCCGGAATGAAAATACTGCCTGGTCCACCAGCTGGACTATTGCTTCCTGTTCTGTCATCATCTGCAATTCAAAGTCCAAAAGTGATAAATATTAGCATAAGAAAATGTCGTGCCCTTTTACACACACGATTTCTGAGAACTACAGTATATGCAATGGTACTCTCTTATAACGAGGCAAAGAGAAAGTCCTTTGCTAAATTAAAACATCCAAAATTTATGCAGTTTGTTTCAGTTCCATGCAAATAGTTACAACAAGGTTTAAGCCCCACCTGTGTACAAGGACTCCATGCTCCTGGATGGACGGAGAGCAGCTTTTTCTGTAAGAAAACAAAAAAGAAATATTAAATTAACACTAACTAGCATGGGCTGGATATTCGCTTTAAGGCCTGCATAATTTTGAAACATCATTAAAGAAGGTCAAAGGAAAAGGCAAATCATCTTGTCCAACTGTTTCTAACTTGCTTGGCTGTTCATGTTGCCCGGTGGGGACGTATATTTAGCTAGTTTTCCTTTAAATAGTTCTCTCCTGTGGGAATCTTTACCTGTCATTCCCTGTGCTCTTATGAGCACGCTGCCATTCCGGCTAAGTTTTCCCTTTGGGTCCAAAGACCTTCCGATGTTAAAGATAGACTTCCACTTCTTCGATTTCCCAGAAAACTTTCTCCTGACAAACGAAGAGAGAAGATTAAGCTCACTGGCATCTGTCACAGCATCACAGCACTTTAAACACACGTGAGGCTGAGGCCAAATCTTACTTGTTGTCTGATATGTCTATGACGGTGTGATAGAGCGTGGCCGTGCTTGTATCAGGCAAACTGTTCTCTCGCTGGCGTTCTTTATGGAGAGGGTGGTCTGGACTTAAGGAGCGAGCCTGAGCTTCTTCCAAACTCATCAACTTCATTGGCCCACACTGGCCACTGATGGGGAGCGTGGCGTACTTTTCCCCACACTTCGAAACCGGTCCTGGAGAAATATAAAATGTTGTTTTTTGCGCTGGTAACTGAGAAAATGCTTCAGCTCAACATTTCTCCTCAGCAAAAGAAGTGTCATACCTTCTTTGACTTGAATTTGTTCACCGCTGAAGATCTGATCTGCGTGGTTTAAAATAAACTCAACCACCGACTGTTGTATCCGCACCTCCTGGAAAGCCATGTCTCCATTACCAGATGAAGCCTCAATGTCTTTAGATCTAAAAAAGGAAATACAAAAACAAGTGTTGAAACCCAACAGTAAAAACTTGCATTGACACTGGATGGCGTATAATGTGTCTCAACCACATCTAAACGCACCTCAGCAGATTTGGAGCCCACACCAAAGCCAGGTTACGTGTATGCATGTTTGTTTGGGTGCTCAGGGTAGCGAGGTGAGACAAGTGCTTTGCAAGGTACTCCAGAGTCCTAACGATAGGTGAGAAAAAATGTGTTTTCACACTTATTTAAACACGATTAGTCAAACACAGTAAAGAGTTTGTCAGCAGGACGACTGTCACATCCATTAAAGTTTAAGAAGTTAAAGGTTCACCTGAAGTGAGCAGTCGGCAGTTCTTTGATGACCTTCTGAATGTGTAAAAGTCTCTCATGATCGTCCTGGACTGAGACCACTTCCTGCATGCGAACCGCACAAAATAATTCACGTCAGCCTAATTTTGTTACTTTGAGATACATGAACGCCAGCATTCTTTTAAGTATATGTTAGAGGAAGTACATTAGAAGATTGTTTGAATTATAGAGTACCATTATATTTTTAAAAAAGCATTAGCGTTTTCTCTGCAGCTCTCTAATCATTAATCAGAGAAAACCTTAATATAGCTGCAGAACGACTAGATTGCTCTGTATTAAAACAACATTGAACTTTCTTTTTCTTCTTTTTTTTTTTATCTTAGATTACACTCGATATGATTAATGTTATAATTATCTGTAGGGTAAAAAAAAAATCTAGCTGTCAGGGCTGTTAGCCCTGTTAACAGACAAGCATAGGTTGGTATGTTTGCTGTAAAACTAATGCAGTGGAGCTTCAAACAGCTGAGCTTTTGTAAGTTGCATTTAACTCAAACAGTCAAAGTACAAACCGTCCACCTAAAAATAACGTTTTATGCAAAAAAAAAAAGGAGCAACGTTTGCAATCTGAAAGCAATTTAGCACCAACTTTGTTCTTTTAAAGAAAACAATAAAGTTTTCTAAACTGTTCTTATGATGTTTTTAGTGCACCGTGCGAAGGGCAGATTTTTCCTAAAACACTGGAGTCCTGCAGTTTTTCAGGAACCAGCGGCACGAAATGTATGAATGCCAAGGTATGCAAATGCCCCGTGAAAGTACACAGAACGCTGGGCAGAAAATATGATCCTGATCTTAGAGTTTGATATTCCTGTTTCCTTCTTTCCTACTTTCTTGCCTGCATTTTATCCAGAAAATTCACAAATGTTCGGTGCTAAAAATCAGAATTTATGAAAATGTGATTACACTTTAACTGTGTTTTTCTAACTTCGTTGTGCATCTGATGCAACAGTGATGCAACAAGATGTTTTTCATCTTTAAATTAAGTTTTTTTCATGAGTAACACATTTTTTGGAAGTGGTTATTGTTGTCATTACTGTAAAATTACAGCTGTTATAAACATGAAGAACTCTTTATGAATAGTGTCATTAGGTCAAAAAATACCATTTAAATGCAAATTAGCCAATATGAAGCTGATATCTGCTAATTGTACCCTTGTGAGTGACATATGACCAGCTGAACGTGCAGTCAAAACACTTCTGTGTCACACAGGATCCCCCCTCCCCCATCACGACAGCAGATGTGACTTGAATGTACTCACGGTGAATTTGCTGTAAAGCTCATATGTGAGCAGAGGATTGGGTAGCTCCCTGAAGTACAGCTTACATAAGGAACCCACACAGTGGATGTCCTGGAGGTACACTTCCTTTGTAAGGTCAGGGCACGCCTCAGAACAAAATTCCTGCCTACACACAAACACACACACAGACTTAGCTGAATGCTTTGATTGTTTAACACCCCTGCTAACTACGGTTGCAGAATGTAGCTGGTAAGATTTAAGTCTATTCAGTTGACTTGAGTTATTTTGGGGGGAAAAAATCACCAGCAAAGATGCAAAAAAAGATGCAAAAAAGATCTAAGGAAACACTTGCATAACGCAGATGATTTATGTGTGTTGTTTCTTTCAAGAAGAATACATACACCAGTAACTGTTCAGAGAAGCTGCATATAAACAGAGGCGATACATACAGACCATCAGGATTAGTCTAAGATTTTAAATCGTAATTCTTAGCATGTCATGTCTAATTGTTGCAAATCTTCAAAAAAGTATGGTAGGAGTACCTGAGACGCTGGATATTTGAGGTAACCCCCGACAGTCTGTAGATCCCGTCCACAATCCCATGCTTCTCAATAAATTCTGCACATTTCTTCAGGACCTGAGGAACTTCATTAAAGAAACAATGTTAATCGTAGAGAAACCTGAACGATTATATTTCATCGTGTTTCACCTTTTTTTTTCTTTTACACATATCCACATTGCATTAATCGGAAAAGCAAGGGGAGGAAATTGCTCTACGTTTAACTTTCCACAGTAACAATGCATACGGTCGACTTCATGGTATGTGGTTTGTTCCACTATGACCGTTTTCGACTCCTTGGGGCTGGTGATTGTAGGTGGACAGGAAGTTAAAAATGGTTTGTTTGTTTCAGAGGAAAGTTGACACACCCAGTCCTTGTAGCTGGGATTACTTACGACATTTCCTCTAATAGAAAACGGCTTTTGAAATGTTACCACTGACCTGCGCAGCTTTCTAAACGACGGCACATCACCTTCTGAACACAACTTTGTCTTGCTCCACTATTTTAAAACCTTATGAGAATGGACTGCAACCATACGATCCGATCGCAGCTTCCCTTTAACTAATTATGAAAATAACAATTGACTGCAAGTCACTTCCTGGGTCAGCTTACTCTTGCTTTAAAAAACTTCTGAATGATAGAAATGACCTCCAACATTTAATCAGATTTTTCATCTTCCGAATTTCACGCAGATCAGCAAACTGCTGTCATTAATTATTATCATTAATTAACTGTGCATTATGAAGGTTTATAGAATGTATTTGACATGTTTATTTGTCGTACTTAAAGATGAAAGAATATAATTAAGGCATTATTATTTTAAATGAGTATTTAAGGTTCCTATACTGACTTACAAGTCTTAAAAGTATATTGCTACTTATGACTGAATGTCAGTCCCCAACTTATTCCATTTGTAGTTATATTGGCTGTACAGTAGTGTAAACGCTTGCTGATGTTAGCCTATCAGAAAACGTATGATAGTGGCAGGTGTTGAACTGTTTAACTGTGTCTTGTCAGTTTCATCCTGGCTAAATAGTCAGTTAAAGTGTGACAGGAAACTGAAAGCAGTGTCCGAAATCAACTTTTTGACTTATTGCCAAAGGAACTGGTAGCTTGGAAAAAAGCCATGCATATTTTTCAACACCACAGTTCCTGAAGAATTGCTTTTTCATAGATACTTACATATACACACTTGCCATTGCTGCAAAACTACGTTATTAGGTTGAATACAAACTTAAAGAAGAGGCCATAATATACTTTATTACAATATTGTGACATTATTGTGTTATGTTGTAAAATAAACACACTGCCCCATAGAAGGACAGACTTCTTTAGTCTCTACAAAGTTTAGTCTTTATACTTATCTTTATACTCACTCATTAACTACTTCCATATAGCTTAGAGAAATTAGCATTGGAAAAAAATGCAACTTAAACATAAACACAGGTCTCAGGAAGCTAAAGGTTACATTCCAAATTAAAAGTCTACTCATATCTGTTGATTGGAAGGTGTTCTTTTAGGACTCTGACTGATAAGGGCTAAAATAGTAAAATAAATAAAATAAAATAAGCATACCATGTTTTTGTTTGCCTGAAATAAAAGTTTGAATATAAAACAAATTAAAAAGTTTTAATCAACATTTAGCTTTTTTAGATATTGAATTTTATGTAATGTTTCAGTTTTTTCGTACAAAACGAATGATCTCGCAAACAAAACATAGACTGTGTCCTCAACAAAATGAATGCCTGAATATTACTTGCAGGAGTTAGTCTCTCATTCATCACCACAGACACCAACAATCTGCTATTTAAATTCTCTTCCTTCTGACTTAATTGGACTTTTAATAGCATGCTTGTGGTTAAATTCTGGACGATGAGGCACTCTGGAGTTTCCATTTTGTGCCTCCGCGTTTCCCGACTTAGAGAAGATTTCTGCCTCTCACAGAAGGACAAAATGCAATTTGATTTTCATCTGTTTTACAAAGAAGCCTCGGAAACAGGATTTGACTGCATGTGGCAACAAATCAATACACGAAACTTTGTAAAAAACAGGTATTTGCACGTCTTGCAACTGTCATCTTAAATGTTTCATTAAACACTGAACATGTTACAGAAACAGTTGTACGTGGACCAAAGTATTTGATGCTGTTATTTTACACAGCCAACATCACATTCCTAATGTGAAAAACTGAAAAAAACCTTACTTCATCTAGACAGGAAGTGTATGTTTTAAACTTTCTTGGCATCAAATCAATATTTATTCATTAAATATTATCAACTATTATTTATCATTTGTTTTTTTTGATAGTTTAGATTAAAGTTAATCTTAAAAATGCAAAAGTTGAGAGTATTTTCTGTCAAATACCATTTATTGTAGATGTACAAGTGTGCTGAATGCATTATTGTCACTTGTGCACAACGCTGTGCTTTTAAAGCTGTTTCAGCACTTAACCATACCAAGAAGAGCAATACAGAAAACACTTTCAAATGCGTCAAAATATATAGGTTTTTGAGCCTTTACTCAACTTATCATCTATGTTGTGTTGCTGTGAGTTTGCCGGTTGCTCTCAGGGGTGTTCAGCTACTTTCATGGAGAGTCACTAAGAGTACAAAAGCCCAATATGCTTCCATGACATAGGAGTACAACCTATACCTCCTCCCTCACTTCCTGTATTGAATACCCCGCCTTGCAGTGTGTCCACTCTAACAGGTCATCTTTAAAGTTACCCTCTGCGTAGCTATTCATATCTGCACGTGGGAGGGTTTTTTCTTCACTCTTTTCATATTTAACATATGATGTCAAACCTCGCATATGACGGTGGTGATAAAAGAACGAGGATGACATAAACGGACACGAAAAACCCCAGAAAGCTAATGAAAACCCGGTTAGTTGAACAATCTGTTGAATGAGTCGGGAAGTCTTTGTTTCTGGTCTGTTTTTCTTGGCTCGTTATTTTCTCACAGAAGCAGGGAGCCGCAGTCCTAGCAAGTCTTTTGGTAGGCACAGAATTACTCATAGGAACTATAGTCACCATAGGAAACTGACACAAAAATGTAAGAGCCACACCCAACGTCGCAAATGACCATTTAATTTAGTCAGTGGGTGAATGAATGACCTTACTAAATGTAAAAAACTTGGATACATACAGTGTGTATATGTAACCGCTGAACAAAGACTGTGTTTATTACATGAAGGAATGTTTTGTCTTCTACTCATACAATTTTTCTGTTAAAATAGCTACAACAACATAAGAAACGACTAGTAAAGCCTATTACCCTCATTATCTTCATTAGCCTCTATCTGTATGGGAAATACTTATTAATAGGAATAGTTTGAAGTTTAGCAACAGTTCTGGTAAAGTAGAATTAGATTTCAAGGAAGCAATTTTTAAAAAGAAAGAAAAGAGTTTACCATCTTGTCCTGAATTCTGGAGATGTTCTATCAGGTCACAGCCGAACGCATTTTCACTTCCTTTCTTCTTGGTCTTCTGCTTCGTCCCTTTATTCTTCATGTGGATCCAGTTAGTAGTCCAGATGATTAAAGCAAAAGGTTCCTTGAGAGCACACCGAATGATCCATATGACCTCAAGAAAGTTGAGTTAGTAGATCAAAAAGCAGCCACATAGAAATCCCAGCAAACAGCTCCCAAAAAATCTGCATCCGCTCACATTCTGTCTGACCACACTGCTGGAAGAGGAGAGGAGAAGTGACGTCACTTTTTAAACTTGAAGTCCTTTAGAGTGTTGTCACTTTAACAGAAGACCAAACACAAAAAAGACACGGTGTGACTGTTGGTTCTCTAGAATGTGGCATTATCTCTGAAAGCTCTGCAGAAACTGCGTTAGGATCCGTCGGTTTCCTGTCGTTTTTCTTTAACCCCCAACCAGTCTCGCTCTGCTCCTTCTTTCTCCTCCTCTTTTCCTTCATTCCACACTGTCTCCTTTTCTTCACAGATTCTCTGTAGCTAAGACGAACATGCGTCAAGAGGGGCAAGAACCCCCCCAATGAAGAATGGCCCTAGTTTTACACAGATTTCTCTAATTTCACAAATAAATACATTCACGTAAACGTGTTGATTTGTGGCAGTGGTATGCCTGGGATTTTTTAAATGCTGAGACTATGCAAGGGGAGGGATGTGAAGTTAAGGGAGTGAGAACAGCTGACACTTGTGTTTCTCTCCTAGTTAAGTAATTACTCTCTTCTTCTCTGTATTTTTTTTTTTGATGTGCCCAAACCTGGAGCTAACGGGAAAACTTCTCTCTGCCTTCCTGAATGCTCCCAATGTATACAGTTTCCTGTGCAAAGAGCCCCGGCTCGAAAACAAAAACAGACGGGTTCTGAAGGAAGAGGGAAGTGGGAGTTGACTGAAGTAAGGGCCTGAAGGGCACAGATGGGAAATGGGGGGAAATGGGGAGGGGTGGCGTGGCGAGATGGACAACACATGGTTCTTGTTACTAACTGCTACATATGTAATCTTTGTCTTTTTCAGTTCAGTTTCTATTCAAACAAATAATGAATTAATGGCTAAAACACTGAGTCGTGTTAGTTATAGAATGTAAATGATTTCTATGTAATATTTTCCATGTAATACAAACACAACTGCAGGGGGTCATTATGCCCAACTCCATAAATAGTGAGTCTATACATTCACCTGCCACAATATAAGGTACACCTTATATGTATTGGGTTGGGCCCTACTTTTGCCTTTAGAACTGCCTTAATTTTTCATGGAAACATTCCAGGGTTTTGTCCGTATAAATATGACAGCATCACACAGTTATTGCAGATTTGTCAGCTGTACATCCATGAGGTGAATCTCCTGCTTCTCTCCAGACATCAGAAGATGAGTACGCTGTAGCCCTAAAAGTATGGGCATGGTCAGCATAATATTCAGGTAGGCTGTGGTGTTTATGCTCAGTTGTTACTAAGAGGCCCATAGACCACTACACCACTGACATCATTATGAACTCTAAATCCACAATTTCTTGTTTTTCAGACTATTCTCTGTAACCCATAGAGGTGATTGTGTGGGACAAAATGCCAGATCAGCGATTTGTACAACAACCATTCTATGATCAAAATGACTGAAATCAGCTGCTAGCCCATTCTGATGCTCGGTGTGAACTACAGCAAATCATCTTGACCATGACTACATGCCTTAATGCGTTGAGTCACTGTGATATGATTATACCTAATAAAATGGCCAGTGAGTGCATTCTTGAGCGTTGTGGAACTCTGAAAATTACAGACCCCAAGAAACATATTCCGCAAATGAGGCTTGGAATTTTAAAGCCGTGAAAAACTGAATTTTCCATGAAGTGACATTTTTGGACATAATCGCCTATTCCCCCTGACAAACCACCGAGTGCAATGATTTATTAACTGTAGACATTTATCAAATTAAAACCATTTACTCCTGCCAGAAAAACATGCATATGCAGACACCAAAGAGCATGTTAAACCAGCCTTACGTAACTTGAAAAACTGATTTGGAGTAAAAGCAACTTTTTCCTATACAGAAATAAAAAGCTATAAAATAACAAGCTGCAAACCAAACATTAAAAACATAAGCCTGGTATCACTTTTTAATGGTAAACCAGATAGGGAGTAGTGCTGCCTTTTACACGTCTAGGAGATATGCAGTAACGTTAGCATTAATCTAGAGTTTTGCTTTTTTTCCACCCCATAACTTAAGCCTAATAAGTCTAATAATCATGCTTCTTTTAGCTGTGTTCTGGCCTCCTCCTGCTCCCTGGGGAAATATCTGGCTCCTTGGCTGTTAAATGCTCGGCTCTGTTTACCAGCTCATTGCTGACATTGTCTGCCTCCCGCCCAGTCGCTAACACGAGCAGTGTGAGTGAACCAAAGTAAAATAACAGGCCGGAAAACCAAAACAATGAGTTGACAGAAGCTCGAATTCTCAGTAGAGCAGAGAGAAAACGGCAGACTTGGGTGATGATTCTATGCGGATTCTTTACATACAAATAATCCTTTCTTTCTCTAAAACATTAACCACCACTTTTTACTACAGCTGTCAAAAATGCCAGTTTCCATGTCTTTCTTTTTTTTTTTTCCCTCTGAGAACATTTTGTTAATCCATCCATCTGTTCTCACTTCTACGTATTTATGAAAACAAGGAATCCTTTTCCCAGGATATATTTGTTCTAAACAGACATGGCTGATACTGACATCCAGGCACAAACACACCTACACACACACACACACACACACACACACACAAAATTCAGATTCAACTCATCTGACCTGCGTAACTGAACAGTTTGAAACAACTGGAGCAAAAAGAGGAAACTTCCACATACTTAAATGACTGTTCTGCTACAAATAGAAATGAGAACATCTGACAAAGGAGCTCTTACACAAGCCATATAGTATTTAAAAGCAAGAACAACGAGGTACACACAGCAGGTAGCTGTGGACCTTTTTTTTAATATCTGCACTGTGTGGTTTGTTGAGTAGATCACAGCTCGCAGAGTTGATATTTTTGTGAGTGTTTTGTGAATGTCACATGTGAGCTACATGACCAAGCTTGGCCTCAGCAAGACAAAGCTTTCATTCTGCACCATAGGAAGAGGAGATGACATCATGCTGTTCATACAAAGCCTCAGACATCCCGCTCTTTCTTTGCACTGGTTAATAATAAAAAAAGTGTCTATGCTAAGAGACCATTTCATTGTGTGTGCGACTAATAAGGAGTTATTCTTGTCCTTACTTTGAGTCTTTTAGAACAAGTTCTCCATGTTCTCAGAGTGATGCAATGCCTTGGTAGATCTGCAGCACAATTTGGCTCCAGCTAAATGTGGAAGAAGGGAAATGACACAACTAGGTAGAAAATGTTCTTTATATATACAAAACATTGTTGATTTTGCATGAGGATATAAGGTTTTCAAGACAGAAGATTGATATTTCAGCTGTATTTGATGCGAGACAGGTGGCTATGTTGGCTTTAGTGATTTAAATAGGCGTGAGGTGCTATGTCAATTTGCTTAAACTATATCAACAGAGAGTCTAACCCTTTGTTTGCATAGCCTATTCACGCCAAACCTGATTAGGCCATGTTTTCTAACTAAGCAGGAATATTAGAATCCTAGAAAATAAGATATAAGTTTACATTATTTGAACATCAAGAAAGATCATTTATTGTTTTATTTTCTTTTATTGTTCCATGTCTGAGCTGTGTGTCTCTGCACAGCCAAAATACTTAATCCTGTTATTATTATTATAATGAATTGAGGCCACTGTTGTCCCAGTTGTTTGGCAATAAATGCAATTTTCTTAAATACCTTGAGATGTCCTCTTTAAACTGGAAGTTGTGCTCTCCACGCCCTCCTCTGGTCAAATCTTTGCACTACAGCAAGTTGCACAGTGAGGTTGTGCTTCTTATGTAATGCACAGTTACAACAAATATGCATAGATATGTACAAAACTGAATGCGTCACAAACAGCTGGACATTGCACGTCTTTACTGAACACATTCAGTGACCGTTCACTGTGTAGGGCAGTGATTCTGGCAACTCACAGACCTCTAGTAGCAATAACCTGCATTTTCTTTACCTTCTTATTAATTATGAACATTAAGTGCCTAATAGTACTTTGACTTGACCATTCCCATTTTTTTTAACAAGTGCATAAGATCGGGGTCCTGTGGTAATCACAGGAGGCCCAAACAAGGACATTTTGGTATTTTGTGTTGATGTGCAGTGCACTTTTCCTCCAGATATGACGTTAGAAATCATTTCCAAAAAGCAAAGCTTCCTTCCTTCGTCCTCTGAGATGAGCTGCAGATGAACACTTGCTTTTGGTTAATTATTTTCCACAGTTGTTTTTCCTGTTATCCTCAGGTTCAGCTTTTCATTTCTCTCAGATGTGCATGGCGTGCACTGCATAAGATCTTTGCAGACTGCTGTTACTAAATAATTTAGAGCAGGCCCAAGTTCCCTTCATTTGTACATAATTTGTCTTATTGTGAAACTGATAAACACTCTGCTCTCCAGACGTGCCTTTTAAGTCTTTTCCAGCTTTGTGCATATTTATGGTGCGGGAAATAATTATTTGATCCCCTGGTGAATTTGCAAGTTTGCTCACTTAAAAAGAAATAAACAGTCTCTAATTTTGTATTAGTTTAATTTTAATGGCAAGAAAAATAAATAAACCAAATAAACTAAACCAACTAAAAATCCAGAAAAAAAAACAATACATAGAAGTTATAAGTTGGTCACCAGGTCTGCACACATCTCAGGAAGGATTTTGGTCTACTTCTCTTTACAGAAACTTGAAGTCCTTTAGTTTTCTTAGCCAAGCTTCAGCTTCCTCCACAGATGTTCTATGGGACTGAGGTCTGCAGACTGGCCTGGCCACTCCATGATCTCATGACCTCTTTGGCCTTACCCATGAAGATTGAGTTTGGACTGGAATAAACTGATTCTATAGGAAGCTGTGCTTTATAAACATAAGTTAAGTTGAGATCAGAAGTATTGTGATTGATTGTATTCTGTGTGGCAATGTGGGGAAGCCATAATTCTAGCTAATAATCAGAATCATTCATTCCATGCACACAAATCAAGAGTATCTAATAAATACAACATAAAAATATAAATAAATGCATGTGTGTTTGAGTAATTGTTGATTGAACAGGTTAGTGGAAGGGGGACAAATGGATGTTCATTAATTGTTTACTTACTATTGTAACAACCCTGGCAAATGTACTTTTTCCCCCCCATTCTGTTTGTTTTAGTTTTTATTGTATTGTACTGCCTTCCTGGAATAGGTGCATGCTGGGTGGGATGTGTCCTTCTGGAAATCTTTTCATAACCTTGGAATTTTGGGGGAGGTATTTGATATTTTCTCTCTCTTCATTAAAATAGAATTACCATAAAAAATATTGACATAATTTCTAAGTTCTGATAAATGAATCATTCTTTCCTTCTGGCTTTCCAAGCAGACA